GGGGGGGGGGAGAATTAATGTTTTCTAAACACTTATGGGGAAAAACAAATCTTAAAAGGGCACTGAAAAGTATTTAAAATGGTATACTGGCTATAATTAAATCTTTTCATTTGATTTTTAAAAATTCAGTTACTTCATCCTGTGCTTTCAAAGGATTTTGAAATAACAAAGATTTACGATCCACAATTTTTGACACAAGATAAAATATATTCACCTTGGAAGTAATGAACATTTAGCCTATATTATGCTTCAAGAATGTATCTTTAAAAAAAAAAATGAATTTATCTTATTATATTTACAAAAGCATGGGGAAAAGAAGCTTGCGGAGGCCTAAAAAGGAACTGGAAATATACTAAGTATATTAAGTACTGAAAGGTATTAGTCTATGTAAGTAGACCCCATGTTACCCCCAGAAGTAAACTATATTCCCATGTGTTTGCTAATTCTCACAAAAAGGTATAGACCTGACAAATCACTAACAATAACAACAAAAAATAGATCCAATGGGATTACTAGTATTAAGGAATGGGGGATGGCTAAAATAGCTAGCCTTTATTTTTAAAATATGGATAACAGATTTTCTTTAATGGTAATTTTATATGGTTGCCATAAAAGAGATATACAGGAAAAATATTTCCTTAGAAAATATTAAAAAACCGCACCTTATACAAGTCTGTAAATCACAATATGACAAAGCCCAGTTATAAATTACCTACATTAAACCTTAGTCATAGTATTTAGATAAATATATTTAGCACCTATAACCGTCCCTAAATACTGAAACTATCTTCTACCCACTAAGCTATGCTGAAGACCAGCCCAGTCTTGATTCATGCCCCTTTCAGAAAATTTTTAAAACATCAAAAATGCTTAGATATATAGCAACACAGAAAAGGCTTAGTTTCTATTTAAAATTTAAGTCATAATATCAGCAGAGATAATTTCAATGCCTACATATGGAAGACAAATGAGGACTGCAAATGTGAAGTATGAAGAGAAATGGACCACATAGTTACAGTAATTTCTTTCCTTTTGTATTATTGCTCTAGTTGCACACACATCTTTCAGTAAAATTTTAAATGGTCAAACCAAATAAGAGTATATTTTAACAACAGTGGTTTGCCCATAGGGTTATTTTCAAGTTTTGCAAACCATCTCTATTCCAGTGTAATACCGGTCTTACTTATTTTGAAAGTGATGTATACACATAATAGAGAATATATTTCTAAGTATGTCAATTCATATCCACACATTCTACTCTAAAAACAGAGATACTTCTAAAAAGCTTATTTAGTAAAATGCTTTTACTAAAAGCATTCTGGTTTTGGTGTTCCCATTGTAAAGATAAAACAAAGCAATAAAACCAAATACATAGACATACCAAATGCATACACCAGTTCAAAATCCAAATACAATGCCATGTATCAGAGCTCATGAGATAGACGCACTTTCATAAATATTTCACAAGTCCACACAGGTCCCATGTGAACTCACTATGACCTTAGGTTGTCACTTCTTACAAACCAGCTCCATTACTCCTGTATCTTTCACTGAAGCTGCAGACTTGATCACTTTTTCCTATCTACAAATTAATTCCTGCTCAGTCTTCAATGATTAAACAAGTGTATTTTTCTCTCTAATTTCAATTCTAAAATGAAAATTTTGAAAGCACTTGAATTTTGTTTATTACTTAATGATCTATAAAAGTAATTCTGTAAACTGTTATTTTTTTTGAGGAAGTACTCACCATTACCACCAAAGATATGAATATCCAATTGTTCACAAAGGTACATTACAAATGTATTCACCTGAGGCAGGAGACCAACGAAAAATACTATTGGGAAACAGAGTGTAAACACTATAGAAGGAAAGAAAAACACATTAAAAATAGTATTCCTCATCGATGGTTTTGTTCATTTAAAATCATAAATGAGAAATCCAAAATTAATATGAAATACAAAGCAATTTTTTTAAAGATACTATTTTACATTGCTTCTCTCTAAATAACTGCTTGGGGATTAAATAATCTTTCCAATTATAACAGCTTCTAAAACTGTTTCAACCATTTTCCCACAATAGGAACCTGAGCTACAGAATCCAAAGGAAACCTTTCATCATCTCCTCCAAGAACAGAACAATTACTATATTTGTTCATCATTAGCTTTTCTTCCTTCACAACAATCCTACAGTTCTGTTGCTAACTGAGAGGGTTACAATAAACAATAAAACAAGCCTATTAAAACTACTTTTATCTATGTAATTGTCTACTTATCAGTAAACTGTTTGTGTGCAAATAAAGATCTGAGATACTTTAAAGATGACTCACCTATAACTAAATCCCTGGCTGATACAAGCACCAGTGGATTGGTGAAAGTTATTCCATATAATTTGAACTTGGTTGTAGTAAGGTTTTTGCTTCCATAATCCAAGAGCCAAATAAGACCACAACATAAACAGAAATAAACTGGTCTACTGTAGGCAATGATACGATTATGACCCTGAAAATGATATTAAAAAAGAAGTCAGTTTAGTTAATTTTAAGAGTCACAACTAGCTACTGAGAGTATTGATGGCTTCTATTCTAAGGATTCAAAATGTTTCCATATGGAAGCCTGGTTTCTGGACATATATATAATCTCAAAGTATCTCCCTATGGATATTTATTAACTGCAAGATAAAAATAGTAGCATTACAGCAGACTAGGGAGTGGGAGGGGATTTGGACCCCCAGGGGACATTTGGCAATGCATGGAGACATGTGGTTGTCGCAATTAGGGTGGGGGTGCTACTGACATCTAGTGGGTAGAGGTCAGAGATAAAGCTAAATATTCTATAATGCACAGGGCAGCACCCTCACCTACAACAAAGATTATCCAGCCTAAAATGTTAATATTGCAGAGGTTAAAAAACCCTGAAAACATTAACTATCCTTAGCCAAAGATGAAAATTAACATCACCAACAAAAGGATAAATCAGCATCATGTGCTTCCTGAAGTGATGCACTGAGAACACATGGCTTTTGTAGTGTTCCTACCAAAAAAGCATGGCCTGTATCCAAGCAAGAAGAAACTGCGCGCGTGCGTGCGTGCGCGCGCGTGCGTGCGTGCGTGTGTGTGTGTGTGTGTGTGAAAAACGTTTACAAAGGGATCTAGGTGAATGGCATCAGGAATTCTTTCTATAATCCTTGCAAATTTTCCCTAAGTCTGAAATTATGTCAAAATAAAGAGTTAAGTATGTCCATATATCATTACATTTCAAAAGCATTCTTACAAAACAATAAACAAAGCAGTTGAAAGAATATTTCGCTCATCTTTCTCAGTAGTGTCCCAGTATATGGGTAAAACCAACTATATTCAAGAGAGAAGGCATCACTATGAACTGTTGTTGGAGTCTGATTTTGAACTACTTTAAAGAAAGTGCCCTCTGGTCTTTCTATTAAATAAATATTCTAGGGTGAGATCTAAAACTGAATCATGCTTTACAATAGTATGAGGCAGCTAATACTTTTGTCTAAAGTCACAAAGGGAATTACAAGATTTTTAATCTCCTTTGTGTCCGTGGGTCCATAGATAATTGTATATCTTCTTTATTCTTGCTCCTAATGATTACTGAAGCAAAATAAGGTAAAGTTTTTCCTACTTCAAAATTCTATTAAAGGCAAGTTATCAAATAACCATAAATTTATATGAACCATGTCTACCTAGTTAATAACCTTCTGAGACAGGCTGTCAAAAAATGAATTATTATGCTCATTTTCAACCAAGACTTAGAATTCCACAATTACAATGGCATTTTATTTCATGTTAATAAATCACCTATATTTCCACAAGTGTGTCAAAACTTAGATGAGATTATAATAACATAAATCTTAATTCAATATGACATAGGGCCTAAAAAGGGGTTTGATGACTGTTAAAGACAATGAGTTACAGGCATATCAGAGTGACTTACATGTCTGGGGGAAGAAGAATCTGGTTGAACACTCTAGAAATGAAACAGAAAGATTATATTACCAAAGTCCCGGTTATTTTACAGGCAACTTTCAAATGTCTGAAATAACTTTTTTTTAAAAAAAAACAACCATCTCTATTGATTTCAGAGAGAGGAAAGGAAGGGAGAGAGAGAGAGAGAGAAACATCAATGATGAGAGACTCATTGATCGGCTGCCTAGCCCGCAACCTGGGCATGTGCCCTGACTGGGAATCAAACCCCGATCTCCTGGATCCTAGTCGATGCTCAACCACTGAGACACGCCCGGCCAGGCTGAAATAATTTCAGTAGATATTCCACAGCTAAGAATGACCTACAATAATTGTGTTGAACATCAACAGAAAACATCATCTCCAGAAGTGGTGTCACTAGGGTATTAAAAAACATCTCAAATTTTATTTCCTGACTTTTAAACTTATTATGGTTAATTAATCATCTGCATCTAGTTTAATGTTTCGGAGATGGCATATGGAAGATAGATCCATCCTATTACTTGGCTCGTTATTACAAATAAGTATGTTACAGTAGAATGCTTTCTTTTAAAAAAAAGCTTAAGATTTTTCCATTACAGTTTTCATTCAATATTATTTTGCACTGGTTTCAGATAAACAGCACAGTGGTTAATCACATACTTTAGGTAGAATGCTTTCTTATGCAGTATCACTCCTTTAGGGAAATGCATAAAACATGGGTTATCTTATAAGAAGAATCCAGTTCTGCCCACCAATTCCATGTTTACTAAACAATTCAATGGTATTTGTATTAAATATTTTATCTGCATTTTCATATCAAAATCATCAAGTAAGTTAGGCAGTATCTTCGTATGAGACTTTATCACCTTTCCATAAAAATGTCCAATAGGTATTATTACTTCCCAAATCATGACTTTTCTCTCAAGTCCCAGTTCATTTCTAATAGCAAACCAAACAATTTCACTATGATGGTCTATCACCACCCTATGAACCAAGTCGTACCGTGCTTACTGAGCTTGGCATGTGGCTCTTGGCAGGATATGAGATGAGGTCATCTTTAAATTCTTTCAATTCCAACATCTATCCTCTAAAAGCTTCTGGTCAGGCCTTTCTTATATCTATTTATGGCATTACTATTCTTTTAGTTAACTAATCTCAAAAACCTCAGTCATATTTTACCTTTTTCGTATCTAACCATATTAACCTAAAAACAGTGGACAAAATTAAAGGGACAGGAAACACTGAAACCAGGGAATGAATTTAAATGGTTTAAGACAATTAAGGTGGTTGAAATGGAAAGCAGGAACAAAGGCCAGAGATTTTACCATGAGATCACCACATTTAATCAAAGGAACTGGAGAGAGTAGATGCTCTAAGATTCTGAGTCGGTACACTGCTGTCAAAAAAAAGAAAAGCAACTGGGAAAGTAAAATATTTATCAGAAGATGACGATGTCCTATTTTTAAAATGTGCCAAATGCCTGTTAGATATACAGGACTAAACCTGTGAGAAAGGTGAAGACTTGGAGATATAAATCAGGACATAATTCATATATAGGGACAACAAATAAAGTAATAAAACAGCATGACTTCACTGGCAAGGAATTGTAAACTGAGAAGAGGGCCAAATAAAACCCTAGAGGATTCTCATAAATTAAGAAATGGTCAAAAGAACAAAGAGGGGACAAGATGGTGGCCTAGGTAAACGTGGTCCTCAAATCCTCCCACAACCACATCAAAATTCAACTCAACTTCAGAACAACCATCATTCAGAACTACCTAAAATCTAGCTGAATGAAAGTCCTACAATGAGGGAATTAAAGAAGCCACTTGGAGACAGGTAGGAGGGGCGGAGATGTGGAACAGACTGGTATCACACCCACGTGTGGCCCTTTATAATCAGGAGGATATCTTAGCTGTGGAGATTCCCCCTTTGAAATGAGGGGTCCCAGCCCAGGGTTTCAGCGCCAGGAAGACAAGTCCCCAAAACTTCAGGCTGTAAAAACCAAGATTACCCCGCAAAGCTATCATTTAGAATCAAAGGTCAGATAAAGAGCTTCCCAGATAAGAAAAAGCTAAAGGAGTTCATCACCACCAAACCCTTACTACATGAAATGTTAAAGGGTCTTCTTTAAAAAGAAGAAAAAAGATTAAAAATATGAATAATAAAATGGCAAAAATACATATCTATCAACAATTGAATCTAAAAATCAAAACAAATGAACAAGAGAACAGAAAGAGACTCACAGATACAAAGAACATTTTGAGGGCTGCGAGATGGGAGGGCGGTTGGGGAGAGGGGTGAAGAGGTGATGGGACTTAGATCTACAAATCAGTTACAGAACAGTCACGGGTGTGAAGTGCAGCACAGGGAGTGTGGTCACTAATATTCTAATAACTGTGTACAGTGTCAATGGGCAGGAGCTCTCTCAGGATGATCACTTAGTAAGTTTTATAATGTCTATCACTGGGGTGTCCTCCTGAACCCAATAACACTGTGTGCTAACCGTAATTGAAAAATAAAAAAACAAAACAAGGAGGCATCAACAAAGGAAAATAAAGTTACGTGAAAAGCAGGATAAGCATCCGGGCAGCACAGAGCTACAGACAACGAGGGGAGTATGAAAACAGAAGGCACTGTTCACAGGCTTGAGTGCGTACTCGGGAGGGAGTGAAGCCTAAGAAAAGGGCACAGATCTGGCAATGTGAGATTGTGTGCAGCCACACAGACTCCAGTTTCCCTACTGCAATGAGCAACATAGTATGATGGGTCCTGAGGAAACGAAGCGGTTGGCATAAGTGGCTTACTCCAGGTGCTATCTATATACATCTGGACAGCTGATGGTAAAAACAGAACTGAGCTAATAGTCTTCAGGGTGGGAGGCTGCTTCATGTTAGCATGTATCAAGCAAATAACCAATACGAGCAACAGTATTTACTGGTTAAGAAAGAAAGGAAACAGTCCACATTAACAGTGCACAGATTTTGCATAGAAGGTGAAATATTTGGTATCTGAGTCTCCCATTTTTGGAAAGCTTAACATTGATTGATTTTGATATTTTAGAGCCACTATTAAAACAATAGCAAAAGGATGCCAATCTTCTGTTTTCAATGTCCCAAAAGAACATATATACTAGTTTTGACATTACTGTTATCTATCAATGTTGAATTTTAATAAAGTTCACCTATAGAATAAAAGACTTAAAATATAAAAGTGCAAGAATTGATGTTGATAAATTTAAAAAAAATAAATTTCAAAAATGCAAATTCTTATTTGTATCAAATATTTTAAGACCAAAAACATCTTCAAGGAAACTTCATTTACACATCATTACTTTTTCAACTTGTATGCACCTTTTGTTCCCTACCGAATCTCATGTAAACATCCAAAAATAAATAAAAAATTAATATCCTTACTATAATTCAGTGAATGATATGAAACCTTCTGCCTTTTAACACAAATATTATGTCACAGTCTGAAAAGAGAGATGCTGGTACCTTCAGTAGAGAGTACTGACAGCTGGCTATCACCAGGCAGAACTGGAAGACCCAGATATCTCTGAAGAAGCCTTGGATGAGAAGGATAGATCCCAAAAATGCCACAAGAATAGCCAAGATGACAGCTAACACATTTTCCAGGACTTCACGATTTCTGTAGGTAAGAAAATTTATGAGTTAAGTGTATCATCAATATAAGAAATTAACCAGTGAAATAAGGGAAGGAATCAATATGAAGTCTATATTATGCTTGCTGAAAATTTTTTCAGTTCTGGGTTGGAGTAAGATTTTGGGTCAACACTGAAAAAGAAACTAGTCTCTGTGGAAAATTAAAACAAATTCTTATGCACAAATAAAGCATGCTATAGTGGATTGTGAAGTATGTATTTTCATGCACAATATAGTTTTAATTTCTATTTTAAAAACTTCACTATTCTTAACATCTTCTTCTATCTGTCAAATTTGTTGCAAAATAACTAACCAACTTGGATGGCAAGGAGCTATACAATGAAACAAGTTTGAAAGACAAAATCTCCAGTTTCTAAAAAATTAAATTTAAAAGTTGTTATTTTATATGATAGTTTGCAACCCAATTTTGATACCAAGTGGTTTCATTTTCCCTATCTCTAAATCATCTGAAATAATCTGAAAAGTAATTTACTAAATATAGGCCCTTACACATGTTGAGCATGAAGCCAGTGATAAAGACCATCAACACTATCTCTATAAAAGAAACAATATGATGCCCAAGATATTACACACAGTAATAAGGTGATATTTATGTCACATACAAAAAACAAGAGCCAGTCTCCATATTTCTTGGGGAAATTTTATTCACAAAATGTTAAATACTAAAAGTCTTATTTTAAAAAAATATATACTGACATGGGAACATGCGCAGCACAAGAGCTATACAAAGAAAGCAGGACACGCAACCATGTGCACAGGAAGATATGTCCTGTTATTGAAAAAAACGTGCAGATATGGGTTAAAAGAGACTATGTCTCAAAATGATACTACGACTGACTCTCTCTGAATGGAGGGTTTATGAATGGTCTCCTTCTGTCTTAAAATCTTTCTGTATATTTTTCTACAATGAGTAAAGAATTACTCTTATAATCATAAAAATGTTTTTATCAATTTGTTGTCAATGCCATACTTATAGGCTTCAACTGACCTAAAAATAAAATTCACAAACATCTCTCTACTATTTCATTTGTTAGTTCTATCAGATTAAAACAAGTTCCACAGTATTTTCAAAACCATAAATACTGGTATTTTCATTGATCTCATATGGCAGCAGTAGAATTCCAGATTTACTGAATTCAATGCTCTGTGTCAATCCTGCTACACCACATACTATCTATATTGCTTGACACTGAACTTGTGCTCTCCTTTGGCATTCTTCAGTTTTTTATTTTGATAAATCCATTTATCAATTTGTTTTTATTGGTCTTATTTTTAGTGTTACATCTAAGAAATTTTGCCTAATCCAAGGTCACAAATATTTTCTATGTTTTGTTTTTTCCAGAAATTTTATTGTTTTAGATTGTACATTTAGGTCTATGATTCATTTTGAATTAATTCTTGTAATACGGTGCAAAGTAAGGATATGAGCTTTTTTTTGCATTTGGATATCCACTACGTTCAGGCATCCATTGTACTTTTCATCTCAGACATTTTTAGTTTTCATCTCTGTAAGTTTCATTTGGGTCTTTTTAAACTATATTCCATGTCACTACCTAACTTTTTTTAATGTATGGAGTACAGTTATAACAGTTTTAATGTCTCTGGCTGCTGACTCTAATACCTGTGACAGTTCCAGGTTGGTTTCAATTGATTCATTAGTTCCTTCATTGTAATTCATGTTTTATCTCTTCTTTGCACGGCTGGTAATCTTTGGATGCCAGACAGAGTGAATCTTAACTTACTGGGTATGAGAATTTCTGGATTTCTACAAATCTTCTTGAGCTTTGTTATGCCACGTGAAAACAGTCTGATCCTTTCCAGTCTTACTTTTACGTCTTATTATGTGGGTGTGGAGCAGTGTCATTGGAGGACTGAGTATTCCCCACTTCTAAGGCAAGACTTCCCTGAGTATGCTGCACAGTGCAGCACAGAACGTGAACTGAGTTTCGTCCCCGACTGGTAGGAGCAGGCCCTGGCCCTGGCCCTAGCCCTGGCCCTGGCCCTGGCCCTGGCCCTGACCCTGGCCCTGTGTGAGTGCCAGGCACTGTTCTTCCATTTCTTTCACATGGTTCTTCCCTGGCCTCAGGCAGTTTCTTCACATATGTTCACTTATCAGTACTCTGCCTAATAGTCGAGGAGACCCACTGCGGGTCTGAGGCTCTCTCTGAGCAGTAATCCCCCTCTGATACTCCGTCCTATGGACTCTTAGCTCTGTCTCTAACTCAGCAAGTCTGCTAGGCTCTACCTTAGTATCTCCACCCCGTGCTGCAGCCTGGGAACTCTCTTAAGACAGCAAGCTGGGTAACTGTATGGCTCACCTAATTTGTTTCCCATCTCTCAGGAATCACTGTCCTTTGTTCTCTCATCTCCAATGTCTTGAAAACCTTGTTTCATGCACGGTTTGTCTTCACTGTTTCAGGTAGGAGGGTAAAGCTAGTCCTTGCTACTCCATGTTGACTAGCAGCAGCATTTAGCCACCAAGCTTATAACAGACTAATGCTGTTTACTATTAAGGCTTGTGCTAAGGAAGGGGAAATGGAAGTTTCCCCCTACGCCTTTGATATTTAGGGTCGTTACCTATAACCTGATAATCATTAACATTTCATTTTTTCTGAGTTTTAAACAGAGTTGCATGATTCTTATTGATGATCAAAAGAATCTTTTTGTATACACATATTAAAATTGCCACAAAAAGGTTTTTAATGAATTCAAGACAGTCAATTTTGGGAACCCTATTAACTTACATTTTATCTCAAAAGGACCAAAATAGAAAACATTTTCCAACATGGTAACCAAGTAAAAACCTCAATGAGTTCTTAAGGACATTTCAATTTAAAAATAAAATTTGCATACATCTTTAATATCTCACTATATTCTCACCTATCAAACAGGGCCAAAAGTGTGAGTCTGTCAAAGTTAATGCCAATCCATAGCTGGGGCAGGATCCAAAATCGGTAATAGTGTTTAACCTTCTGGGCAGCATCTTCTGTTGGACCATAAGTAGCTGCCAGGTCTGGGCTTAGATCAATGTCTTGTTGCTCCAACAAATCTGTATCGATGGTCAATAGTCTGTTCAATCGAATCTGTGGGAGAGAGAGCTAAAACACAGTCAGCGTTGAAAGGCTTAAAATATCTTTAATCAAGTCACTGTCCAAGGGTTACTCAATCAGCTTAGAGATGATCTAAGCCTCCTTAATTTTCTATACTAGTCCGCCCCTCATGGACATTTTATGACCATTAGAAACTACAGAAGGTGACAATAAGAAGTGAACTAAATAAAGCAAAGTAATCAATAGGCCTTTCGGAAAGATTTTATTAGGAAAAGTGCTTGAAATCTTAACATCTATTGTTTAGCTAGTAAATCCATTAAAATTGCTTACAGTGCATCACTGGCGGCCTCCCTTCCCCAGTCGCACTCATGGCCTTTTCTCAGTAAGCTCCTATTAAATCTAAGCTCCTCTGCATTGCAATGTCGTCAACTCTCATTTACTACAGTCTCTTATCACTATTATTGCTGTTTTCAAATTCCTCTTACACCCCGCCCCCCCTTTGTTTTGGCAGGCTGTTCATCTGAGGCTTTACAGGAAATTACCACATTACATTTCTTTTAGCTTTAACTCATCCATCCACCAGTTCACAAGCTTCCTCTTCCTCGGAAAGAATCAAGTTTGGGGAATCTAGCTCAGCACTGGCCAACACTTTGCTATCTCAAGGCTCCTGTACATTTAGCAGCAGAAAATAATAACCACTTCCCCAAATTTACTTTCCTCTGGAGCTTCTAAGAACACACTACATCAAAAAAATAGGGACAGTTTTTACTTTTCAAACATGTGTGGGTATAGTCAAGAAAATCCGCTTTCTATATATAACACAGCCACTATCTCTAAGCATTCACAAAGACTTCCCCAAACACTTTTCTTCTTATGCTCTATGCCAGGGTTTCTCAACCCAGACACTACAGGAATTGTGAGCCAGATAATTCTATGTTGTGGGGATTGTGCTGTCCACTGTAGGATCTTTAACAGCATCCCTGGCTTCTATACACTAGATACCAGTAGCATTGCCCTTGCTGTGACAAGCAAAAGTGTTTCCAGACATTACCAAATGTCTACTAGCTGAAAACCTTTGTTCTATGCCAATGTACACCTATGGTCTTCAAACCCTGTTCACAACTCTTCAGGAAGCTGTTAATAATTAATCCCTTTGGCTCTACATTTATCTACCCCTATCTCTTATGTGTTAGTTATAAGGATGTTACCCAGTTTGTCTTTCCCAACTTCAATATATACATCTTGATGGCAAAGGCAGAGTTATCATTTTACAATATCCCTACTGTATTTTATGTGGCATATTTTTTACCCAGTGATGTCATCACTAGGCTTAAAAAACATACACACTGGTATAACTAATAGTAAACCAATAAAAAACTGCACCAAAATCATAATATTCAAAGTAAAGTTTTAAAATGAAAATTAAAAAATGGCACAACCAGATGACGTTGGTGAGTAAAGGAATCTTACTCTCAAAAGTGTAATAATGGATTCGTATGTAACTAATTAAACTTCATGATGTTCCATTTCTGTTTAACAAAGGCCTACTAAGAAGAGATCCACTATTGAACAGCAAAAGTATTTTGCCATATTTTTCAACAAAATTCATTTTCCTGATTTGTGTACCAACTTAATCTGAAAACACAACATTTTATAAAAAATAAGAAAAACCTACCACATCGTGTGGATAAAATCGAACTGAGGTAGAACTGGATACATGAGAATCTGTGTCACTAAAATAAAATGAAAAGGACTTTAGGAAATAAACAGCTTACCAGGTAGTAGGAAAAAACTAAATCCTTTAACAACTAGATGATATTTACAGTGTCTTCATTTTTCTATGTCAATTTCAAAATATCATTTTCCTAGAGTTGTGATTAAGAACACAGCCTCTGGGTCAGAGTATCTACATTCAAATCTCTTCATCAACTGAATGAGATCTTGGACAGGTTATCCAACTTTTTATACTTCAGTTTTCCTCATCAGTAGCACAGGATAAAAGTACCTTTATCACAAGGCTCTGGTGAAGTGTTTAAGAAAGCAATTACCATACTGCCTGGAATCACAATGAATTTAGCTATGCCTAGAACACGACAATTCAGTTTTCACAATTCAGTAAAGTTTAGATTTTAAAACTCAAGACCTTACCACATTTATGGTATAAGGAATTGTTTTTGTCTTGAATTAAACATAATTGTTTCCATTCCTCCATTCTGCTACAAAATACCTAACACACCAATTTAGTCATTTCTGACTCAGATTCTGAAACTGGACTAAAGAAGCTTAAAGGGTATAGTTTTCTAAATGTTCTATCTTCTCAGCAGGTAAGTGACCTTTCATCTATGTGTCTACAAGATCTTATTGCTTTAAATAACACCTCAAAACTTAAAAAACTACATGAACTGCCCATAGACATGTAACATTTAAATAGGTGTGTCTATTACTAAATGGAAATCCTGAAATAAAAATCAAATGACCCTAGTGAAAACAGTTAACTGATCAATAATGGATTTCAAAGCAGCAACTTGCACAGATGAACAATAAGATTAAAATTTTACAAAAAATTTTAACATATTCTAAACCATAATTATGTAATATGACCAAGATTCTAATTTCCTATTTGCTTTTCTAACTTCATCAGTATCTAATTCCTTCCTAAGGGGAGGTGAAAAAGGAAACTAAGTGTAACGTATGACCCATAATCTAAAAAAATTCCTTCTTCTTATAGTTGGTAAATAAATTTTAAAACAAAATGAAAGCTGATCATTTAAGATATGTGACCAAACCCATACAAGGAAACAAAAATTTTAAATTACACAAGAGAAAAAGAGAACTGATGGGTATGAACTTAGTTGTGTAAATATTTTTCTAATAAGCTTTTTTACATCATATATTTATTGTGAAATCTATGGTTAAATTTACAACTGTGCAAGCCACTGTCCCACTATAAGATGAACAGGAAATTTTTACTTAATTTTTAAAAATGCAGAATAGCTTTTAAGAATAATGCTTTCTTTTTCCCATAGCAACAAATTCTACTTTAGCTCTCTAGAGACAAATGTGCTATGACAAATTGTTTAAGCCAATATAAACAAATGTTTTCAAACAACATTTACATTTAAAGGTTTAAAAACTTTAAACACAGCAAATATATGCAAGTACACACACTCTCCTAAAATGACTTCACACATACCAGATATTGGATGCTCTTCTTGCTGCTGGTTCAAAATTCACAAGTGACATATCACAGCCACCAGTCTCATAAAGCGTAGAAGAGAACTTACCTAGCAAATAAATGAGTTTTTAAAAGTCATTAGAATAATCAGATTTTTCCTTCAAGAAACACTAAATTTTAAACTTGTAACAATTTAAGAAAATGTACTACCTCTTCCCAAAATATTTTAAAAGAAATGATTGGCAGGTCAATTCAGCATGTGAACTGAAAAGGCATGCTGAACAGTAGGGCAAAATGTCAACATACAGAATCAGGTATTAAAAGCAAGGGATTGAAGTCAGCTTTCCAATACCAGTCTCCCCTTTTCTCCTCCCAGCACATTCTAAAGTAATTATATGAATGAATTTAATGTTAAGTCACCTGACTACTTGCAAGTGGTGAATGGCCATTTGGAAAGCTGCTTGTGTTAAAGACAGCTCAAACTGCAAGACCACAAATTTGTGTGGTTACCTTCAGAGTTTTTGTCTGTCTGTTTTTAGAAAAAATGAAGACTGTCAAAATGGATATAAGGATAAAGTATAACAATGCTGGTAACTAAATTACAATATTTAATGAACATTACTAGTTATATGATTCCACAAGAACTCTGAAAAAATTTAGGAACGCCATTTGCTGTAGCCAACTATCACTACTAAACTGATAAAAGGTTTAGAAATTACGTTGGTTGCAAAAAAGTAGGTTAAAAAAAAACTCTCTTAAAATGAACTCTATAAGATAAAATTATTTCTGATAATGGAATTTTAAAAATCTGGATACTGTCTGAAATTCATTCTCTTCCATGACAATCTATGGTAGTCCATTATCAATGATGAGTTAGGGAGCATAAATAAAAGAATACAAATTTTCAGTAATGCAATGAGAAGAGGTACACATCTCTAAAACCATGTGGGTCTAGTACAGGCTGCTTTTTGAGTATTTATGACGTTTTTGTTTTACTAGCTGGAATTACTAAGGTTATGAATATGAAGAATCTTATAAGGCAATTTCATCTTCATGGCAGGGCTGAGAGATTTCTCTTCCATGACTACAAAGGAAACAGTATACAATAAGGACTTTTAAGTGAAATCCTTGAAAAATGACTATAAAAGGCGCCCATAATATACTAATAAGACTTTGCAGAAACACACATTTCAACAATTACTTCATTATTTAAAAGGACTAGAATCAGAAAAAAGAACTTTTAAAATAGGATTATTTGAGCACCTTCTATGGGTCAGACAGAACATGAAAATATTTTATTTTATTAGTGTTTTCTGTAGCAGCAATTTTTGTCAGAATAATGTACTCCTGCGATAAGGGAAAAAGCATCCTTGGAAGTGCTCAGCTCATTTGCAGTTTTTCAGGGAAGGATTATTCAGCATGTGGACTATCTAAACCTGCTGTTAGTCACGAGTCATTCACTCAGATTAACTAACTAAAATGAAATGATACAAGCTGTCAACTTGGCTACTTCTTACATGTATTACTGACATTTTTTTGAAGTGGTTTGGAGGGTTGCAGAAATTGTTAGTGAAGAAAAAAAATCAAACAAAAATACTAGCTTGACTGAGATTTAAAAATTATTTTTAAACTGCAATTTTTTATGCTCTGCTTTTTCCTCACTCATCATGGATAATCAAAGATTGGTTATGTTACTATAATAAACTTATATTAATAGAAAAAATACCTTACCAAAATCACAGACTGCATAATGCAGAAGAATTATAAACCCATGTTAAACAGCTAAATCACAGAGTAACAAAGAGTTGGAGGGCTTGGCTACTGTACGTGAAATCCAGTAAGAGTGGATGCATAAATATGTTTATATCAGATAATTTGTGTCTATTTTAGAAATAAGTTAATTCTATATGCAACAGCATTTAAATTATTAAAGTATATTCTGCTATTTAAGTATTCCATGGGACTTTTAGTAATATAAGTCCTGTCCTTGGGATAGTGAATAAATATTTAAATGCAACTGAAATCAACTGAAGATTTTATACTCTTTGCAATTTTAAAATGGAAAAGTAAAAAAATGTTAAATCACTATACTGTCTTTTATGTATAGATGTCTAATATAAAACTTCTACAGAAATAGTTGCATTTTAAATAAATACAAACATAAAAATAAAGCATGTTCCCCAAAAGGCTTTTTAGACAGAAAGTTGGACAATTGAGCAGTTTTACTACTATATAAATCTCCAACTTTGAATGCTCCTATCAAACCAATGACTAAACAATAAAACTGAGAATTTTAAACAGAAGCATAAAACTGTCTAAGAAAAGAATACCTATAATTTTAACAAATGTGCATCACTTCAACAGTATTTTTTATTTTTCCCCAAGAAGTTTTTGTCTACCTGCTAACTGTAAGAGCATGTTAAGGTTCCTAAAACTATACATGGCACGTGTCAGAACTAACATCCTATTAAGGCTTCACGGTGTATGCCCAAGTTTACTCCACCAAAAGAACAGATTCTATTCTATGTCCCTTATATCTTTGGGCCAGACGACTGACAGTACTTAAGAGGTAACACATTTTATTCAGAAGATAAGCAACTCAGAGAGAGAAAAAGTTGCACTTAAAAATATTTAGCTTAAGGCTTCGGTGAAAACAGTAACATCTTGACATATTAGTATAATCATTTAAAGGCATCTTCAAAAATAACCAGAGAAGAAATAAGTATATATTGCTTTGGGTTATAAAAATGAAGACTAGCTTAAATTTGTCCAAATCTTCTTAGCATGCACAACAATTTCACATATATCTCATCGGAGATTAAAACTATGATCATAGTTAACCTTTGGATCTAAAGTAAAACGTGCCCTTATTAACGACCCTACCTTAACATTATTCTTCCATTTAAATATTATTTCTAATGATCATGGAGTGGGAAGAAAGTAGAACATCAGCGCGACATGTCCTCTTGACATGAATGATGATTATAAACGAAGTCATCTCATCATAACTCAACTCCCTGCTCATAATTAATTATACCTAATAAAATGGCTGTCACAATTTAAAAAAGAAATCAATTTCTGGCAAAATAAACAAGAAAGATTTTAAAAAATTAAGGTATCTGGTATTTCTCAGTTTTGAATATTCAGTAACTATTACTGCCTATAAAAATTTAATTTAATTACGCAAAACCATTTTTTTGAGGAAGGAGAATTTCTACCATAGGTCAATTTGTAAACGGTGATCAACAGGAAGGTGAGTAAAATCGGATTCTGATGTAAGGAACAGGACACTTGAAGCATGTGTCCGAAGGCATAGACGGTGCAGCGGACACTCACACACACTGGAAAAAACTGATAGAAGACATGAGAAACTAATGGGATTCTCTAACTTGTCCTACCAATAAAAAGGCTCACCACATGACACCAAGTTAAATGCACAGACTGTAAGACTGCTGCCCGCCTAGGAAACCCAGCTATTTGGTTCTTGATGTCGCCGGTTTCACCCACGTATCCTGGGAGGAAGTGGGTACCAGAAGGACAACCTGTGAAGTCTGTGTCCTCCAAACCTAACCCTGACCGTCGCAACTGGCGTCGCTTTTCTAGTGTAACTCTTAGTGCAGACAGGGCTCTGAAAGCGGGGAGAGATAAAGGGAGGCGACTTTACAGTGTTTTTTAGAAGGTTGTTAAAGAGCCACATACATCTATCTATATGACTAACTTACATACTCTACAAAAAATGCTTATTTCTGATGACAGTAAATATCGAATATATTACTATACTTTTGAGAGCAGGCCTTTAAGATTAGCTCCAATTTCATAGATAGCATCCCCTTTATTATCATGAGCGGTAACTATGAGTCTCTGAGGAAACATGAGTTTTCACCCAGGCAGAAATGACTCATTTTATTGCTGCTTATAGGTTAATGCATTTGTTTCTCCCTAGACGAAAAGTCAGGAAACTTTCTGTAACGGGCCAGATAAATATCTAGGCTTTGTGGGCCACATGGTCTCTGTTGGAATGACTTTAGTCTGCCATTGCAATATGAAAGCAGCCATAGCACATGCATGACACAAATACATGTCTATTTTATTTACTGTATTTACAGCAAGCATCAAGATGGATTTTGCCTTAAGGGTGTAGTTTGCCAACCCGTCCTAGACCAAGTCTCAAGCTTCTGTAACCGCGTTAACTCTAATGCTACAATGGAAATTAAGCCACTGTGCTATTCTTGATTAAAAGTTTCAATCCTGAGAACCAGTCCTTCTCTTCCTGGAGTATGCTACACAGGGCTCGGTTTCTAAAACAAGAGAGTAAAAAGGAAAGGGCAGGTACAAGAACAAAGAGGTTGATTTAGAAGAGAGCTTGTGAGGACTGGTAAGGAAAGACAGGTAAGCCTACTGCTTGGCAATAGGGAAAGGGATTTACTTTCTGATACATTTACTGACATGGCCATTGTTGTCTAGTTCTGACCTAACAGGACATGCCTTACTTCACTGTTAAGTCTTCACTCCTACTGTCTAACCCCCAGATCAGGGGACCCTTCGAAAGGTGAACATACAAGTTCATATTCTGCTATTTCACCATCTGCTCACATTTTCTTCATCTTGGCTAAATGAACCATAACAATGATATTGATGACATCACAACTGATCAAGTAAACAAAAAGGTAACCCACAGAATGGGAGAAAATATTTATAATTTGTATCTAACAAATTAGTTGATCTACACTTCAGTAATAAGACAACCCAATTTTTAAAGTGAGTAAAAGATCTGGACACAATTCACAAGAAGATATATGTACAGGCAACGAGCACAGCAGAAGATGCTCACCATCCTTAGTCGTAAGAGAAATGTAAAGTTAAGCCACATCCACTAGGGATAAAATTTAAAAGGCTGACAATAGCAACTGTCAGCAAACCACTCTTACAAACAGTTTAGAAGCTTTATTCACAATAGCCAAAAACTGGACACAACGCAAACATCCATTAACAGATGAATGGATACACAATATACAGTATACTCACACATGGAATTATACTCAGCAACAAGGAACTACTAGCACATGCAACATCGTGGTCAATCTCAAAAGCATCATGTGAAGCCGAAAC